GTAAAAATAAAAAATTTTTAAAATTTATTGTAATGATTATAAAATATTTTGTTTATTTAATATTTAAAAAAATTTAGGTCTCTGAAAATCTAAGGTAAAATTTAATATAATTTTAAAAGGTCACTATATATATATGGTAAAATTATGAGATAAGAAAGGTTGGTAAAATTACTAGTAAATCTGAAATTTTGCCCAGAGACCTTTATTAGAAGTAAGCGGGGTCCTATTAAATAGTCTTATAATTTTTATAGTAAACAATAATTTTAAAATTCAAAGTTAACGATCTCCGCATCCAGTAATTCGATTTTTATGATCTTTATGCAGTTGGATTCAGCTCATAGAGAGATTCCAATGTTATGTATTTCATATCTGTAGCATCAATATTGATGGAGTTATTCACGTTTAAAATTTTTATATTAATTATAATTATAAAAATCACATGACTATGATGTAATTTCAACCATTTCGACTTTAATTTTAACTTTTGACCTTCCCAAGTCGAAATATTTCTACTTTTGGGCTTTAATTTCAACTTCATGTATAGACAACACTTTAATGATTTAAATGATGAAATTATCCTTAATAGGACCCTGGACATTACATATACAACTTAGTGTCAACTTTTTTGCAGATTGACCTAAATTTCACAAAAAAAAATCAGTTTTTTGCAATTATCTCAGCATCCAGTGGTCCAATCTGTATAAACATTTTTTGTTTTGTAGCTCTTATCAAGCTCTACAAAATAAAAAAAATCCGCATGAATTGGATCACTGGATACTGAGATAATCGCAAAAAACAGAAAATAAAAAAAAAAGCAAATTGGGTTTTTTTTGGCAAAAAGTCAGTTATGAGTTCTATAAGAGATGTTTGGGTCCTTTCTTAATCATACTTATGATGAAGATGACTTTGCTATGATCAGAAGGTTTAAAGAAGAACAGCTGCCAGCTGTACGTATTTCAACAGATGAAGATTATAGACATATAGAACATCTTTACATAAAAAGTAAGTTAACGCTCCAAGAAGTAGATGAACTATGAGATGAATGTATATGCAGAGATATTAGGTTCGATATGTCAAGAATCGATCTCTGGTAGATTAAAAGAAGAAATGAATTGACAAAATCTAAAACTGCTAAAAAGAAATAAAAGCAAGAGGAAAAAAAGAGGTTATGTGATAAGAAATAGCATGGTTGTGTTCAGCAGTTATAGAATAGAAACAGAGCCATTGGCTTTTGTCTTCTAATAATTTGAATTGTATGTTTTTATCTTTTAGATAGAATTTTCCTTAAGTTAAACATTCTACATCTTACAGTATTTACGTGTAGCTAGTCAGTTTTTAGGTTAGAAAGAAAAATATGGGCTTTTCTTAAAGTTGCATTGGGCAAATTTTTAGGCAAATTTTGACAGTTATCTAAAAATTTTAGTTGTATCATTGTTAATAATAGTGATATAATCATTTAGGTAACAGGTCGACTTTTTCTTTAGAGAAATAATCTTATTTCATTATGCTTAATTCTTATATATATTTTATTTTTCTTATTATTATAAGTTTAGTATATGTAAGTAAGTGTAATTATATTAAGACAANTTAATAATAGTGATATAATCATTTAGGTAACAGGTCGACTTTTTCTTTAGAGAAATAATCTTTTTTCATTATGCTTAATTCTTATATATATTTTATGTTTAGTATATGTAAGTAAGTGTAATTATATTAAGACAAGATCGCATCTATAATAAATAAAAAAAAAAAAAAAAAAAAAAATATTTTTTTAATTTAAAATATTTTTAAAAATTTTTATGCCATTTAATTTATAGTTTAATTTTTATGAGTATGTGATTTATGATGCTTCAAACATATAAATGGTTACTATTTCCTAGTAAATATTAATTTTTTTTTAGTAGCTGAAGCATATTTGGATTAAAGCTCTAAATGGTTCAAATTAGTTCAGATTGAGAAGTAACTCAAAACCAAACTAAAAAATTGCTTCATTTCGGTCCAATCCAGATTATGTTAAAAAGATAATCCAGAACCAGACCAGACCAGACCAGTTATTTAATTCAGTCCAGTCTGATTCTATAATAAAAAATCTGAAATTCTGATTGGCTGTTATAATATCACGTGACCAAAATTAAAATTTTTACCAAAATTATAACTGTATTCTAATTCCATAATTCTGGCTCTGTAACGATCTACCTGACATGTGTAGCTTCAATTTAAGCCTATATTCGCTTTGTATAACGTATATACTATATAAGAAAACTATGCGTCTTTATGCATTAATGTTACACAAAATGAATATAGGCTTAAAATGAAACTACACATCAGAAAAATCGCTATGGAGCCAGAATTATAGAATTAGAATACAGTTATAATTTTAGCAAATTTTCAGTCTAGTCTGATCCTAACCCGTTTAATTCAGTCTGAATTAAATTTATAATCCTGGACTAGACCAAACTAGACCAAATATTTCGGTCTGGGTTGAAGCATTAACCCAGACTGGACCAATCCTAATTTTCAGTCCAGATTGCTGAATTAGGCCCAGACCGGTTAGAGCTTTAATTTAGATACTTTATT